GGATGATGACAATTATATGCATATTTAAAAGGAAACAGAAAAAACAGGGGAGGAAAGAAAAAAGGAGGGAAAAATTACAGAATACACTGAGTTAATGGGAACTTCCACAATCATGGATGGCAACTAAACATTAAACAAACAAGCCTGATACATAAATGAGGGAGTTATGATGGACATCTAAAACAACCATTTATGGGTTTAGCTGTAAGATAAGGTATTTTTTAATATTCATACACCTGAAGACATGATGCTAAAGCCTATAAAGTTTCTAAGACACCTCATTTTTTTTTTAATTCAGAGACATTTAAATGATGGTCAGGTTATTTCTCTCTAGATCAACTGATTGATCCACTCCTTCAATTTACAAGGCTACCTAACCTGTTAGAGGAGTGTCACGCAGGTGCCTTCATGCAAAGAGAAATAGGGCAGGAGGGTCTCTCCAACCAAGGAAGTGTCTGAGAATGTATGGAGCAGAGCTGCGGTCTTGGCATCAAAGAAGCTCACTTGTCCCCCTTCGCAGTTGAGAGAGATGCGAATTCTCGTGGGCCTCTCAGACAGGACCAGTTCAAAGCATTTTGATGGAGAGAGGGCCGTGTATTGTCCTTCCCATTCCCAAATCTGCCACTTCCTGGTCTTTGCATGAACATCTTTAAAGTTCACTGGCTTGCTGGTAACCCCTATAAACCATCCTCTTGTACCGCTTACAATAACATCCCAGAAATGTCGCCCTGATGAGAACATCTGACAACCAAGGACAGAACGTTTATATTCAAATCGCTTAAGTCCTTTGATGCTTTTTCGATCTTCAGAGATTTTAAGGGAGTCAGGATTGGCTGTGTCTGGATTCAGAGTTACATTCACTGTAAGGGGGAAGAGGAGGATGGAAGGAAGGAAGGAAGGAAGAAAAAAAGAGCTTCAGTTGCAGGCCTGGTGTGTGAAAAGAACAGAACAGAACAACAGCTTTATTTGGCCAAGTGTGTATCAGGCACACAAGGAATTTGTCTCTGCTGCATAAGCTTATATTGTACATATT